ACAACAGCTAAATCGAAATTTGGTACTGGTGACTTTTTTAAATTTTCATCCTTAATATTTCCTGATTTTGATTGTTTAATCCATTGTTTAACATATTCTAAAGCATATTCAATTTCCATAACTATTACATTTCGTCCAGTATTTTTAATTAATGAAATAATATTTTCATCAACTGATGGGTTAACATAAACATTATGATTTTTACGTTTTCCTAAAATTTCTTCAGGCCAACTAAACTCTAAACTTTTTGGTTCAAATTTTAATAATGAGAATTCTTCTACCACAAAAGCTGTCATTTGTTTTAATCCACAAACTTCCTGTCCATGAGTTGATTTCAAATGAAGAATTTTTTTACATAATTTTAATGAGTGTAAAAAACCTTTTGGAGAACCTGTAGCATCAAAGATTATATCAAATTTTTGATCTGGAAGTAAAGATGATGTCGAAGTTATTTGTACTCCTAATTGTTGTGCAAGATTATAAAGTGTTGGTAATGGTGGATCTTTATGAAAAATTGCAGTTGTAGTAAAGTCAAGGTTATGTTTTTTCCGATAATCTTGTAAAATTTGAAAAAAAGAGAGTTAATTAATATATATATATATATATATACGTTAATACGTACGTATTAAGATTTAATCAATGATTTATATTTAGATTTACCACACAAAGCCGCAAGAATTAACATTCCTAATTTACGAGGTCCCAAAACAGCAACTTTCTGCCCATTATTTGGTGGCGTTGTTTCAACAGCCTGAAAAGGGAAAATATTTTATATATGCGTAGCATTACTTATTAAATTTACTAAATAACCGCAATATATCAAAAAAAAAAAAAAAAACACACACATGTAAAGCTGCAGCAAAAGGTTCTGTTAATATTGCTTCTTTCAAACTTAAATTATCAGGAATCGGTACGATGGCATTAATAGGTGCAAGGATATAAGGCGCCAAACCACCAGGTAATTGATTTATTCCCAAAGTTATCTAAAATATTGAAATAGAATATCTAAATATCTTATAATTTTAAAATTTTTAAAATTCAAGTAACATGGAAACATACACGATCTGGACATTGAGTAGACATCCCATTTTTACAGTAAAGACAATGATCCTCATCATTAATTCCACGAGCAAAATGTGATGCATTAATTTCTATCACAACAGGTTTAGATTGATATATAGCAACAGCTTCATGTCCGATAATCTAACGAATAAAATAAATTTCAATACATTATTTTTGTATAAGACAAATTAATTTTCAATTGTATATTTTTTTTTTTTTACCTGAGGTAATTCGAAAGGGAGAAATCGTCTGGCCAAATCAGTTGAACAAATACCACAATATTTCCCTTTAACAATAACATATCCTTTTCCAATTTTTAAAAAACTTTTATCATTTCTATAAATAGTCCATCCTTTATCAATATTTGGATTCTCTGAATTTGCAATATAAGAATATTTTACAAAACTAAAAGATGCATCTCTATTATATTCTGGTACTTTAAATTCTACGTAAATTATTTTATCTTCACCTGTTAAAGTTTTTACAATAGTAGGATTTGATTTAGTTAAAGAAAATGATGTCATCTTTATTTTTTTTGACAAATCTTACAAAAAATTTCATCCACCCCCTTAATATAACAGTAAATATATACTACGTATTACAACATTAGGTTTACTTATCATACTTATATTCCTTTATCGTTATTCGTTATATCAATATGGATTAGATTTAAAAATCGGAGTTTCTTAATTATCTATACAAAGCGAACAAATTAATGATTTATTAATAAGTAACTAGACTTTACATATGAATACCTCATTAGGTTAAACTTACTATAATTGTGAACGTAATTTTTCAGCCTTTTTTTTTAACAATTAACTGCCGATTATATTAATCAGGTCATTTTCATAGTTCGTTTGGTAATAGAAAAATAAATCCTAACAAAAACTTGCCATTCCTAAAAATAAATTAAGCTGTTTTTCCGAATTTATAGTAAACTAGTCATTAAACAAAAATTGGCAGTCACATGAATTTAATTAATGTGATAATCGAATAAAGCGAAAGATTCAAAGTGTAAAAAAAAACCTTATTCTTAGAGTTAATAAAGAGCTTAATGTATCCAAGATTTTTTGTAAGGAATTTTTTTAATTATTGTACAGAAGGTGGTTTCATAAGCAAAAAAAAAAAAAAAAATTGTTTTTTCAAAAAAAAAAACTTTGGTGTTCTAATTGGTCAATAAATAACGTGTTTTTGTTTAACGATTTTCTCACGTATTATTTAATTTATTTGATCGTGTATTATTCGCACCACTCTTAACTTTTTTTTGAACCTGCCTGTCTTCACCCTTGTTGTGCTTATAAAAAGAAAAATGGAAGTTAAGATTATACGTAGACTTCGTAAAATTAAACAAAAACGAAATTGGAAAAACGTTTTAACAGTGAATGTTGGAAACACGCAGTACGGAAAAGTAAGTATCAATTAATGTTAATGTGTTACAACTAATACTTTTTTTTGATAGACTTGGGAACTACTAGTCCTGTAGGAGGGATTAGTTATGAACCTTACTCGAGCTGTTAAAAAAGGTATTATATTTACATGCTCTTCAATCGCTTACCTAACACTTTCGGCGTATTTTCTTACAAAAGTTTGAAAAAACATCGAAACTGTTATGAACCTCGTAATTTTTTATTTATTTCTACGAATCGTGAAGTTTTTAAATTTTTACGAATAAGGTTCACATAGGCACGTTGATTTGTTAGGCACGTACGCAATTCGTTTCCGTTTAACAAGTCAAAAGTTGCCGTGGGTCCGTACCATTTTTTTGATATTATTTCTACGAATCGTGAAATTTTATCAATTTATGTTACGAAGGCTAGCATTTTTGGATCTGTTATACGAATCGTTGAACAGGGCAGGAGTGACTAGCGATATTCTTAGATATATTTCTACGAATCGTGAAATTTATCGGGAATATCAGCATTGGAAGTGTGGGATATGGGATAGATAAAGTGTCGGGAGAGAACTTTAGATATACCTGGTTGTTTTCACTGAGTTGATTGGTTTTATTTAGTACTTTTATACTAATTCTCTCCTCTTTTTTATATATATTTCTAGAGTTTCGCAAATTAAAAATGAAACCGAATAAAATGGCAGGTCTGCACCTTAAAGATCTTACTTAACTCTCGTATAACATACGAAAGATTTGTTTGACTAACTGGATAATTCGTAAGTAGATAATTCCTTAACCGGAAATTTCTGAACAATAGGAGTCCTGTATTAAATGTTGGAAAAAAAGGTTATATAGCAACACAGTGATATATAACGATAATAGTTCACATAATTTTGTTTATTTTTAGGGGAATTTACAAATAAGGGCCCAAAAATTAAAATAATTACATATCGGGCCCTATTTCAATAAATTTTAACAGTTTTTACTAATATCTCATAATACCGTAAACGAAATTTAACGATTTCGATACCACTCGAATCGTCTCATTGAGACGCATTGAATGGTACCAAATCGCCAAATTTTAATTACTGGATTACGAGTTATTTAACATTTTCGAACGTCTGTTTAAGTCGTAATATATTGTTATCCCGTCATTAAAGTTTAGCAATTTTAGTACCATTCGATCCGTCTCGACGAGACGATTCGAATGGTATCAAAATCGCTAAATTTCATTTACTGTATCGTGAGATATAGTAAAATTTTCTAAAATGGGGCCCCTATATGTAATTATTTTGGTAGTGCTTTCTTCGATTGAACGATGATAAAGTTGTTTCTAAATTTGAACCTAATTCCTTTAGCTCAAGTTCTATAGCAGGTTTAAATCCGTCCTTAAAATTTAATTTTTAATACGTAAAATAGCGATAGTAAAAACTTTTTTATAAATATTAAAAAAAAATTTTATCTATAATTTGCTCTTTATTAAACAGGTGATAAATCAGTTATATCCTGGGTAGTTGGATATAACTATTACTCGCATACATCCATTTTAGTAAAAAGCCTTGGCGATTTGAATTTATGTAATTTGAACTATATTTATAGATCATAGGATATATAACACCCTAATCGAAGATTTTGCTCAAAAATTTATCTTAAAGTTAAGCTTTATGTAAACATAATTATGGTTGTACACAAGAGTGCCGAAAAATTAAATTTATGAAATTATACGTAGATATACAATAAAATTTTTTTATAATAATTATAAAAAGTTGGTTCGATAGTATATTTTCCAATTCCATTTTAAGTTATTTTAGGATTTTAAATCAATTTAAGTCAAACTTAAGTGGATTCCGAATCTATTGAATTCCAAATCCACCTACGACATCAGAAAAGTGAGCGTCGATAAGGTGTTATGAATCCCACCAAAAACAACGAAAGAAACACCGACAAATGACAAAG